GATCCTGATTATGCTTATGGAAACCGATGCAAATACTACGTTCTTTGTAAGTCTATTTCCACTTTATGGGCCTTTCATTGGTGTTTTTTTGATGTCACTACTGTTCCAATTGTGAAAGTTCTTTGTCGTGGTTCTTATTGGCCGCTAGTTGCCTGCCAAAATTACAATCCAAAGAGATATGTGATCTTTTGAAATTCTTTCCTATTTCTATTGAGGGTCGACTCTTTACAGGTCCGAGTTTTCAACTTTACAACTCCGATTACAATTCAAGTGTCCTTTGCACAGTCACCCCCTATCAATTGGGTATTATTCTTTGTGATATTTGCAGCGTAAGTACATCCATTATTGCTGTGCTTCCGAAATAACTTGTTGAGAGAAACTCAATTTAGCTGTTTCATTGTGCTTTTGGTTGTTGCTGGTTTACTGTGGATGATTAAACTTCGAATCGAGGTGTATCGAAGAAATCAACGACGAATCGATGAAATTGAACACGTGAGTTTGCTATGTTTTAAGATTTTGTCTTTTCTGTATTGTCTTATATGAAGGTTGTTCTCTGAATGGCCTCCTTATTCTTTTGCTTCGGGCTAAACATGAGTGACACTCTTGTTGTCGCCTCACAGTCTTAGTAGAGATGGATGAGCAATGTAGACGTGGATTTGTTTTTTCTCTTCTAGAGACTTGGTTTTCTAAGAAGCAAGAGCCAGCGTTACCATTTACATCTATCTGATACGATTGCTTAAAATTATCATTACGCTATCGCGCTTACCCGTATAGCGCCATTTTTCATGATATGTCCTGTCGATATGTTTAGAGGGTTGATTAACAGCACGTTTTGACGACCGTGGTGATGTGATGTTATACCACACTTTCACATGGAGCAGTTTTCCTTAATTTATTTAGCGTTTTTCCTGCTCCATAACGATCCTTGTACACTATTGAGTCCGAAATACTATTTTTTCATCACTTATGATGAAAACGCTGAAAGTGTTAATGCCCATTGATGAGAGAATACGAAAAATGTTGAAGCTGTATGCGCACAACAGCGGTCGTCAACGCGTTAAGTAGAAAGAGCAGCGTATGAGGCCTTTTAAGATGCTATTCTTTTGTGTTACGCCCACTAATCTCGATAAGCAGTTCTCTATGAGGAGTGATTGGGTGCTGGCAGACGTTTTAAGTATCATGGTCGCAATTATCGCATACTTAGACCTTAAAAAGGCGTGGTTGAAAACTTGATCAAACCTTGGTATGAATTGCTCTCACATATCTCGATTTTTAGATGGCGTCTCGTCCATTTTCTTCAGTCAAACTCGAACTTACGAGCCCACACTGCTTTGCGGTATGTTTCACTTTCGACATCTTCATATTGTCTGTAGTTTTACATTAACTATGCACTGCTCTAGATTTGAATGCTTGAATGCGCTGATGAGTTTAAATCCGACAGCGTGCCTGGCTCTTGATTAACTGTCGTAAAGCTTGTAGCATTAAGTAGAAATCCAAATCAACGACGCTCAGGGAACCATCCATTTTACCTTGTTCTGAAGCCGTCTGACGTTTTTGAGCGATGCTATTGGGCCTTTATTACCAAATGAGTTACTGATAATTTTCGCAGATTTTCTTAGTCTTTATAGGTAGATAATAAGGTTGACATGTGAAAGATTCCCGAAATTTTGAAAGTTTCAATTAATGTGAGCTAGTGCTTTGAGCTGAGCGTAGAGGTTTCAATTTTGATTCATGGTTCCATCAGTTTTTAATAATGTGTTTCAGGCATCGGGCCCGGTTCAAGGACCGACACCTCTTTCCGTGGAGCCTTGTAGTAATTACAAATCGGGTATTTTCACGCTTGCCGTACGCTTACCGACAGGTGGTCGTGCAACAACGCCAAACGGTACATCAGGACTTGCGGTTGCTTCTGCATTGTGTCTTTTAACACCTGCACAGCTGGGTGTGCTCCAAGCCCCAGATAACTCAGAAAATCGTAACAATCGGAAAACTACTCTTCGGAGCTATATCCCTTTCTTACGAACCAGATTGAATGATTCTGCCTGACTGGTTTTATTTATCTGGCATTTCATTTATACCACTTTAGAGCACATTTTATCATATCTATCTTATTATACCCAGATAATCTCCCTTATGTGAGTGATTGAACAAACCAGTTTCTTTGCTCAGAAACTCTTCACTACTGCCATTAGTCTAATTTCGTCACGATCGTGCCTGTCAATTTGGTAGATTGTTGAAAGCCGAGCGCTGCTCTACATAAAACGATCACCGATGTAAGTTGCTACCAGTTGCTTATATCAGAGAAATAATGTGTTGGGTGTTCTATTACGTACAGTCTTATCGCGTAGGTCCTCTGCGAACGGTGACATAATAAAGAGGGTTCACTGCTCACGATTTGCGCGATTCCTCTGAGAAGGATGTGTTTGTATCGATGTGAAAAGTCAGCGATTAGGCGATCTGACAATTCATCAATTCCACTTGCAGGATTAGGTAGATATCAAGTGAATTGTCTCCCTGTGGCCGTTAGTCGATGCGGTGTGTCGGCTCTGGTCAATGCTTATACGATCCTTTTCGCGTAATCGCCAATTCCCGAAATTGCGTAATCTCTCAAATCGTGAGCTATGGACGCTGCCTAGCTCACGTTTCCCGCGCGAGCAATAACATACTCTGAACGCAATGCATTGGAGCTCCTTTTTTTACGTGAACGAGCTGATCCAAGAGATACGATTGTCGCTTGCAAGGCGTAAAAACGCAACCAGAGGGAAGACTGCTTATTTAACTGAACTTTGGGTTGATTGGTTTGGAAATCGAAAATGGAAACAAAGATGACACGTTAAAATTATGTAGATGATTTACTGACTGTGAACTGCGAGGCTCTGCTGTGTTAACACCAAGTTAATCCACGGATTTTCCTTTCAATTCCATGGGTGATTTTAAATTTTTATGGTGCTTAGGGAAACCTTATTGGTTTTAGTCCAGCTCTTAATACCCGCGGTACGGGGCAAGCCGCACGGAATCGCGCATGCGGCGGATGTCTTATGTTGCCGCGCGCGGCATACGTTTTCGGAGCGCGTCGCAGGTGAATTCCGTCTCCTGGCCCATACCTGAACTCTTGTCATTTTTCAATTGAGTGTGCTGGTCTTAGAGTTCGACGGTGGTCTTGTTCCCGTTTTTGGCTTTTAGCATATTGCATGCGTTTTCACAGTTATTTAATGTAATATGGGTGAGTGGGCATCTATTGCTAATGTTTAGAGGTGTGTATTTTGAAAGCTATGTGGTGACAGTATTAGTTGATATGCTATCTATGAGAGTATTTTTTGGCATTTTTGAAAATTTTGATCTGCTTTTTGTGGTTAGTATCTCGTCACCATTTGTTTGCATAATTTACGATGTTTAATTTTTCTCTCAAAATTCAGTAACAGTGCCTGTAAAGTAAGAGTGTATATATGACTCGATCAGCTCAAGACAGGATCACAAATTGTGGGTTAATTTTAAGTCACTTTGCACATCTTTTCACGTGTTTTCAATTCAAGGTATCCCGGCTTTGTTGTTGTCTTTCTACATAACATTCGTTTCATGATATGTGCCTTTGCGTGTCATAGAACAATAAAATTCATTATTCTCTCCAAATGACTCGTTAAATGACTGAGTATTGTGAAAGTAAAAAAATAACCGAAAACTGTATCTACAAAAGTGGCCCCATTCTGAAATATAGCTGGCCATTGATGGGAACGCGATTCGTTGTCACAGGGTAATGTGCATCCACGACATCTGACAGAACTGAGCGATTAGTAATCGTATTTTTTGTTCTCCGTGTTGATACAGCAGCAGAGAATCATTGCGAGAACCATGCCCAGTAACTGAAATGGCAACGTTTTCGCTTACTTTTGTGTGTCTCTTGAAAGCAGTAATCACAAAGGTTAGAGGGTGATGTGGTATTGATCGTCATTGTTAGACTTGTTCCCTCAACGCGCTACGGTTGGTTGGGACCGCCTCTTGACGCCCTGTCGCCAGTGGCGTTCAATGACGTCATCAAAACCGTACCGCCCTTCAGCCTTTATGATCACTGCCTTTAAGTTGGTACATGAGTTGGCTGAAACGAGAAGTTAGCAATTCTATTGCCATGAAATAGCAGTAGCCAATTAAACGGTGAATTATGATTTCTTTTGATCAGTTCGCTGTTAAAAGAAGTGAATTGTGCGGTTTATCACTGTGCGTAGAATCGTATTAAGCTCAGGAGGCAGCGCTATTTCTTGTCAAAATGAAGAGGTGGGGCTGAAGCGAGGACTTCAGGGGAATAAGGCCCCTAGCGCCTTTAGCACATATAGTTACCATGAAAACAGAGCAATCTTTCGTCCATTGAAAACCTGCCACGCTAAAGAGCGGGCTTGCACCAGTGGAATGTGACTTGAAGTTCAAGTGAATATTTTGGAATCGCGATTATGCTCGTCTTTCGCGGAGTATAAATGCTGCCCCAACTTTTGTAAGCAGGTCGGCTTTTCGCCATCTGAATATGAGTGAAAGGAATGAACACAGCGCTAAATAGCGCCATTTTAAAAGTATCAGCACTAAATTTCACAGTGCAAGTATTCAAGCGAATGAAATTACCTGAAGAGCGCCTACGATCACACAAACAGCAATGACGATGTCCAAGTGGCGATAAATTGAGTCGTAAAGCGCATCGGCGCATCCCTGTAATCACGGCATTCAGCACAGGTTCACTAAACAAACAGAATAGCTACAGTTTTTTGGAAACCTTGCTAAACGGTGTACCCTGTGCTCAGCCAATGAACAACCGAACTTCTGCTGAAGGCACCGTGAAAAAAAAATTCGATAGACCAGTGTTCTGTTGAGGAATTCAGCCCATTTCATTATTGCAGAATGTTGGAGTTATAATTTCTACACAGAAATTCATGCCTTTCCTGGCAAGAACATGAAATTTTTGGTTGCTTCATAAAGTCTGCACAATATCCCAGCGGAAAATACTACAACAGTTCCTTCAGAGTTCCGATTCCTGGAAAACGAGGTAGCCGCTGATGGTAGGATAAAGCAGTGAGGGCACTGACTGACGTGCTACTAGTGAAATGGAGGGAGCCTTTCCGAATTGGTACCTTCTGCAAAAAACGATGCTCAAAGTCGCTGAAAGGCAACCTGCACTGGACAATGGAGCCCGTGATATCGTTCAGCTGCGAGTGCTAACCAGGGCAGGAGGAAACAAGCAGTTTTACCACGTTAAAATGATTAGCTGAGGAACGCTTGTGGCCGGACGCGGCACGGCAAGCTCAGGAACAAGAACATCAGAATGGTCAGGCACACTGCTTTTAGCGCCAGAGCAGCGACTATGAACTATGGTACGGGCGCGCGCTGAAAAGCTACAGGATGATCCGACAAGGGGAGCAATGGGTTCCGAAGCCTAGCGAAGTGAACAAGGAGAGCCCCAAAAAGAGATGTATCGACAAAGACCTCACTGAAGTCATGGCCAAGTAGGGGATGCTTTGGATAGGAGAAAGTAGCACCACTGGCAAGAACAGCAGACCCTGCCATGGTGCGGGAACACCGTCAGGGGCTTGCGGGACCAGCCGATGTACATATATGTCAATATTTTTGTCTTTCCAACAAGTCTGGTACTGGTTATCCGACTCTCGGAAGGGGGAAGGGCCTGGGTAACCTGGACAGCGTACGATCCAAGATTCGATCCCTGGACCATGCGCGTGATAAGCGGTCTTTTAGCCACTATACTACTCTACAATAAATTGGACTGCTTATAATATGAATTTCAGTTAGCTATTCATGTAAACTAGCTGCGTTGTTAATTAATTGATAAGTACTCATGTGAGCTCTCAAAATCATCTTTTGAAAAAATTACCTTATCGTGAAGGAATTCGAGGTATGTCTCCAGCGGAGCATGAGTGAACGAGACACCACAATTTGTAGGATAGGTTTCTTTTCCGTGGCTGTTACAACACGACGTTGGAACACGGCCTGAAATATGACGCTACTGTTTTTACTTCAACTTTTTAGTGTTGAACTGATGTGCTCAACGTTGCAATAGCTGCTGTCCACAGTTGATATGAGAATGAATCACATGCTAAAAGAAGTAAGACCACCAGCGTTTATATTTTTTCTTTTGTGGAAACCTTCAGCGGAACACTGAGGCGTTGCGTAAAAGGACCAGCACTGTTTATTACTCAAGGGCACGCCATGCACTCCACTTCTATTCAAAATTCAGATGCATATAAACACTTTTGGCAGAAGCCATTTCAAAGGCAAGGATCCGAAAACTGATGGCTTAAATCGCAAACAAGGCTGTCGTTCACCCTCCCCCCTAACATGCTGGAGCTCAGCATCTACGTATCACTACATATAGTTGTATTGAGGAGTGATCTTGAAGCTCTTGTGATTGTACTATTTATTGGTTAGCTTTCGGAAATAATGCCATCATCAGACCTTAAAATTACGGCAATTGCACGTTAACAACTGATTATATGTATCATAACTCTAAATAGTGTTTACTAGTAAAGCAAATAAGTAAATAACGATCGCGAAAGCTTGGATGATTTTCAGGATCTGCTAAAACAAGAAGCCCGTTAGGCCGATGTCAGACTTTGCGAATCGCGCGATTCGCTACTAGCGATTCGCGCGATTCGCTAGCGTCCGCGGTCGCGTTGCGGTACCAGCCAATTGAGTGATTCACTGGCCGCGACGCGACCGCAGACGCTAGCGAATCGCGCGATTCGCAAAGTCTGACATCGGCCTTACTAGGCACCACGCCCCCTCCTCCCAAAACTTCTCTTATGCAAACAAAAACAACTCGGCCCTTGTTGGCATCCTTGTATGTTTGGTGATTACAATTGTTTTTGGACTACAATTTTTGAACAGCTATAAAATCACTTCGTGAAAGGCATCACAAATCAGAAACTGGTCAATGTTATGGTAATGAAGGACCTAAATCGTACCGTATCCGTTGCCTCGTCCTCCTCCGACAGCCCCAATTCCGTGCTCTATCCTGACTTCGGTGTCGTCGCTATGTGAGCTCTTCTTATCCCAGCTAGCTCCCAACCAATCCGTGTACGACTTCACACCACAGCATTCCAACTGAAAGTGTGGATTTTTCAGAAAAGAGTTCCGATTTTTTCATCCTACTTTTATATTATCTTCACCTTTCATTCAAACGTGAAATCGTTAACTGATCAAGCATTCGCTACATACCTCCTGCTGTATATTGTCGAAAGCTGTTTTATAGTTTGTATCGGATGAATATCGATTTCGAATCGTGTCGTACATACTGCTTTCAATATATTCTCTGGAACAGATGGATTATTGTATCTCAGGGTTATGATCCGCTTCAATGAAGAGTGGCGCCATAAAGTCTTCCTTTGATCTTCCTTTGAGACGCGCCATGCATTTCACTTCTGTTCATGATTATATCTGTTTCCCGAGTGCGTACTCAGCAATAGACTTGCGAGGGCAGCTCATGTACAGGCCCTTCTTTTCATCTTCCTTGACACGCCTTCTATCAGTTAGCTGATCAATAACGTTCGAAAGTATAATTGTGGGGCGCCATTCGATCGACAATTTGATTTCCAGCCCATGTTTTTGGTAGACGCGCACCTTGCTACTGAGCCTTCGTCCCTTTAGGTTGTGAATGTAACTACGATTTTAGGTCAACATGCTCAATATTGGCGAACCCCGCGACAGTAAGTGTTAAATGTAATGTTTACGATGGCTGGAGGGCGGAACGATTTCGATGACGTCATTGGTGGACAGGAATCCTCAGCGCGTTAGGCGATGTAGCTGACACCGCCCCCTAACGCCCTCTGCCAGTGACCTTAATGGCGTCATCATAACCGCGCTCTCTCTGCCTTTAAGTCACACAGTTGGTTCAAGCAATGTGGCTTCAAAGCGTGCGATTTTGGAGAGTAGCAAATCGATCGATAGAATAGGATGCAGTAGAAGTGTGAGATGTGAATGCAATAAGTCAAAAGGCCAGAAAGAGTTTCTAGTGACGGCACTCCAAGAACCAAGTGGAAGCATCCCGTCGCCAGCATTTGTGACAGATGTCCGGCGGTACTTTGAACGCGTAGCAGCCCTTTCGGTTTTTCGAATTTTTTACCAAAACAAATGCAATTTTTTTCTTTTCGTTCTTATCGTGAACGATGGGTCCAAGCCAGTGAATTATGGTGAGATAGAATCACGATTCCGTGAAGGATTCCTTCAAGTCAATGTACCTTCAACTACGTGCACTGCAACAACCGTCGATAAATTTCCTAGAATCTCAAACCATGCAAAGAAGTTCAACTTTGAACGCCTTCTGCCTATAAATTGTTCCATGCCGAAGCTTGGTTGTTTTATCTCATGGAAAACCTTGTAAGGCCTCGTTTGAGCGAATCCTGCCCTTAAGCTAGAACAATTTTCAGATAAGGTCCACAAATGTCGGATCACCTTTTTCTTTTCTCCAATGAATTATATTGACAACTGTAGGACGTAGGACAAGTGTAAAGTATTCTTTGTGGAAAATCGATTTTGAAACAGCAGATAACACCGACTAAAAAAGCCTAGTCGCATCTTTTGCATAGATGTAACCGCGGAATACATCTAGTAGAATATGTTTTGAGAATTCCAGGTTAATCGGAAGATATAATTTGAATACTAAATTACTCTTTCGAATCTTTTGAACAATTTTTTCAATCAATCAATTAAGACATTGGATAAATAAATTATTACAAAGGAAAAATTTCAAAAGCAATCGACTATTTACTAACCATGATCATGATTGAAACTGGATTTCATTGAGACCTTCCCGTGAATTTGCAAAATTTCGCTGAATCTAGTCGAAATCGCACTATTCCACATAGCTCCTATGGTCGCTGGCAAAATTTTGAATCATTCCAAATTTTGGTTTTTTTGAGCCCCTCTTTCCAGCAATTGGCTTACTCGGTGGCCCATCCTCCGAAGTAAGCAAACCAGCCCTTTTGGCGTTTCTGCTGGGGCCGTATGCTGAATGTTGGGGAGGGGATGGGGTCCCCGACGGTGGACGGACTACTTCAACTCGGTCCTTAAAACCGCCTCAATTTGATGCTTACCTCAGGACTAAGCCTTAAGGACGGACCTGCGAGAGAGCGCAGGTCCGTCCTCTCTCCAAGGCTTAGTCCTGGGGTAAGCAAACCAGCCCTTTGGCGGAGCTGCTGGACCTAGCTGCACCACTTCGTCATCACTCTCCTACCGTACCGACCGAGTTGAAGTAGTCCGTCGACCTCGGGGACCCCATCCCCTCCCCAACATTCAGCATACGGCCCCAGCAGAAACGCCAAAAGGGCTGGTTTGCTTACCTCCCCATCCTCCTCCCTATTGGGTTACCAACATCTTCCTCGATTGAATGACTGAAATGGATGCTAACCATCTTTTATAATTTTTTAATACCACATTTTTTCCTTGACAAGCTGTCATAAGCTCCACAATTTCTTGAGCTGAAAAAATAAAAGCGTTGGAAGTCGAACCCTTCAAAAATCGAAGAATATGTATGCATTCATAAACTACATCATTTGAGAAGTTCGCAGAATAATGGTGAAGTGAGTTTTTTAGTAAAAATAAACGGACAAAATACAATGATAAGTTCTTCAATGAGAAATGAAATGTTTTATTGGTTATTTCTGACCAATCTTCCCAAACTGTCAATTAACGCGAAAGCGACTATTCGTTCTTTTGGCTGATTTCGTGGTGTAAAGATGTTGACCTACAAAGCGCTCATGGTTTTTGCAAAATCGTGAACCGAGGTTTAGCCATTACATCTGTCACAGTGGTTTAAATGACTTGAAAAGGTGTCCATGGACCGGTTGGTGAATAGTCTAATGGTGTGCGAGATATTTACCTAACGATTCGGCTATATTTGAAGAAAACCGCACTTGAAATGTTTTAGCGCAAGATACGGTAGTGAAGTGGTCAGTCATAGCTACACTTAACTAACAGTGAAGAAAGAAACCAGCAGTACGTTGTTGAAGGAGGTATTGAAAAATGATTTGACAATGAGGTTTGGTAATGTGCGAAACAGCGCTAGGAACCATCTAGGTTCTTGAGGTATCCCCAGGTACACCTATGTGCAGGCTCCTGCTCCTCTAGTCCCCTGCAGCGTGGTCCTGCTACCAGTAATCGAAACAAGCACGTGAGATGGAAGACGCTTGCGATGCGGTCTACGAGGGACATTGTTTTTTCTACGTGACCCCATCGCCCTCGCTTTTGCACCAGACCCTACTTCCAACTGAATGGTCTCTTCACCGCTGCAGTTATGTCGCCTGCTCTTTGGTTTGTCATCAATCAAACCCAGGGTGTCCTTAGATCCACCCAGTTGCGTGCTAGTCGGTAGGTCTGCATTTCGCGTTCATTTAACTAGTTCGTTGTACGTCTGAACTAAGTCATTTTACGACGTAAGTTTAAGACCCTAATTACTTTGCATTGCTTGAAATACCAGAGAAATCGCAGAACCGATAATTTTCGTAGGAAAGAAAAGAGAAGTGGAAATAGTACAAGGTAGTCTTCAGTTAGCGGAGCTCTATTTAGTAATCAATCGTCAACGGATACATGTTTGACTGGATACGGTACCTTTAAGTGCGATGCTGTATGCGGGCTGCAGTAATTACAGCGTATTAGTAAAGGGAAAAGGAAAACTGTTCTGTGAGAAAAATACTCGGAAAAATCCCTCTCCATCTCCGGCCAAAAAATGTACGATCCCCAGTCGACTCCTTACGTGCCACATTTGACTGTGACATGTATGGTGTAGTAGTACACCTTGAGGCCCACAACTTGACCCTACAGTGACTGCTTTGGCCTCGGAATCGCTCGACATTTAAGGGGGAAAAGATAGTGTTTTGCAGAGCAATGTGATGACACATCGATCTTATACGACTGTTGCAAACCAGATCTCAGAACTGATTCCACAACCGGCGACTTTTTCGTCCATTACATCATCAGTCCCTGTAGCATGCCGCAGATGCCATTGCAGTGCTAATGGCGCTCCTACTCATGATCCACTTAGAAGGGATTCTGTGATTGCGTACTAAGGGTAATGGACTACGACAAGTCAAACTAAGTTCTGATACCAACTAGTCGGAAGAGAAGAATGCTTAATGAAGCTTAAACGAGATCTGATATTTTATTTTGTTATGCACCATCTTTAACCTCTGACCACCGGTCAACTCCAATGAACTGTGTGGATCGGTTTACACTTTTGCGCTACTGGTAAATCGCAGTTCTGCTCATTATAGAAACTAAAGTTGAGTAAATATGAAAGAAAGAATCCATGCGTTAGGCAAGGGAATGCTACCAATCCAGGGGCTATAATGTAGGACATTCCATTTGAAGTAAGTGAAAGTTGCAGTTTTCGATGTAGAAGTACTAAACGGTAACATCCCGCTAAGGCCGAATAGTTTGCGAATCGAGCGACTGCAGGGACGAGAGACTCGACACTGTTTGAAAGTGGCGGGATCCAACGTTTAAAGGGGAGCCCGCCATTTTCAAACAGTGTGGTCCTTGAAGTGGACTTCCTTCAAACGTTGGGTCCCGCCACTTTCATAACAGTGTCGAGTCGCTGGCGCAACGC